GGGGGGGGGGGGGGGGGGGGGGGGGGGTTGTTTGGCCTTCAAGTTACTGTTGTCACCTGTCTGCAAAGAGCTACGACGTTTGCAGACAGGTGACTCCACATACAAGTTACCTTTAAATGGGATCGGGTGGAGGATGGGGTGGGATGGGTGTTGGGGTTGGGGTTGGGGTTGAGGGAGGGGGGAGCAGGGTGTTTGTTGGGGCTTCAGCTTACTGTTCACACCTGTCTCTACACATGTCCGCAAAGAGCTGACATGTCTGCAGACAAGTGACTCTAGTATAGTACAACTCATCATTTTTGGGGGTCCGGTGAGGTGTGGGGTGGGAGGGGGTTGAGGGTTGGTGTAGGGGTGGTGGTGGGAGGATAGGAGGGTGTTTGTTGGGGCTTCAAGTTCCTTTCCTCACCTGTTTGCAAACATGTCTGCAAAGAGCTGACATGTTTGCAGACAGGGGACTCCACATACAAGTTATCCTTTTGTTTGGATCAGATGGGGGTAGGTTGAGGTGGGGGGAGGGTGGAGGTGGTGGGGGGAGGGTTGGGGGGTGTTCATTGGGTCTCCAAGTTCCTTCTCTCAACTGTCTGCGAATATGTCTGTGAAGAGCTGACATATTTGCAGACAGGTGACTTTCAGAGACCTGCACACCAGCAGGCCCAACCAGGACCCCCCCCAGTGGGCAGTCCTTTCGAACTCGTCCTGCGTCAAAAAATGTGCAGCGGGCTGACGACCCCGTGACCAGCTCGTAGGCTGCCAGAAGGTCGGATGCAGCTGACCACTGGCGGTGCAACTCTGCTTATTATTATTTAGTCTCCACAATTGCTAATGATCTCTCCACAAGCTATCTTTGGCACATAATGCTCCCTTGAAAGTGCAATGGTGCCATAATGCCATCCCATCAGTCAAGGCTTTTTCGATCGCCATGACCATGTCACAATTGAATGAGTGTAATGCCTGAGCTCATAACAATAGATGAAATCAATTGTGAATCTGGAGGGTGAAGTACATGCAGCAGTGCTTATTCATAGCAGCATAAGGGGTCACACATACCAGTTAGGGATGGGGCAAACATTCCAGTTCAGGATTGGCCTAACACACCAGCTCGAGAATGGTCAAACCTACCAGTTCGGGATGCCCCATGATTGAGTCAAACGATGTTCAAGGCCGCGGCCTGCTCTGCTCATGAGCCGGTGACAAGATGACACTGAATGTGGATTCTGGCTGGACCCTGGCGTCAGTCAACCACCAACACCCAGCAGCTGTGAGACATACAGAAACGAAAATGGCCAATGCAAACAAGACTTTCAGGAGCTATCGAAGTTCTATACCCAATGGACACACCGCTAATAGCCACCAAGTAGATCAAAAACAAAAGTGAAAACCAGTTAGGAGGTAGTACACAGGTAGACGACTATGGTGACACACAAGATGAACTGATTGGTTACAATGGAGGACGGACATGGGAAGATGGACTGTGTAGAGAATACCAAAGGAAAGCTGTGAGTGAAGAAGGGCTTTATCTTGTAATGTGTCTTTGCCAGCTTGTTTACCCATCTATCTCTCTTCGCCCTCTCTCTCTCTCTCTCTCTCTCTCTCTCTCTCTCTCTCTCTCTCTCTCTCTCTCTCTCTCTCTCTCTCTCTCTC